GCTCGCGACGCACCGCAGTGCTTTTTTTATATGCACCGGGAGAATTCTTTGAGTAACCAAATGTCCAACCAGAAGCGCCGCTGGCCGTGAGGTCAGAATCCTCCGATGAGGTCACCGCTGGGCCGCGTCATTCTCATCGAATCCGGAACAGCTGCGCGTGGTTGCAGCCAAGGACGAGTGACGTTGCCACGCATTGCGTCAGACTCGCCAGACAGGGAGGCGCCGACTGCTTCGACGGGATCGCTGTGCGTGCGCGACAGAAAGGCACCGCCGCGTGATGACGCCGTTGAGTTGTTCGCGTCAGGCGGGCTCGCGTGCTGGCCTTGACACAGATTGCCTTTTTCAGAGGCATGGACGTTCGGTGTGGACTCGCAGGCCCCCAGTGCGCGCGGTGTGCCCCCAAGCACGTTTCCCCGTTCCGATGGTCCCCACGTCGTTGGCGACCTTCCTCTGAGTAAATGTTCGGCCCGTCTGGAAGTAAGCCAACTTCCTAGCTGCATCGAGGGATGCTGTCGCCGCCTTCCTTTTGGGGTTCCCAGCCACCCAGCAAGTACGTGCGCGTGAATTTCCGGCGCAACCTCGTTGCTGTCGACACCCACCCTACCGCCGATCTGACCGCCCTACTCCAGGTTGGGACGATCTGCGGACCAAGGTTCGAGCCAAACAACTCGACCTGAACAACTGTGTTGGCATGGTTTCTGGAGTGTACACAACGATCCCCCTCGAGGACCTCACCGACAACATTGCTTCACCAGTGCCCCTCGTGTCCGGTGTGCGCAGAGGCAACTGCCTCACCCTCACCTTCGCTCAAACTACCGTCCCGCTGGATATACCCCTTTACAAGCAAAGGCGCCCTGTTCGACCCTGCCAGCCCCGATCCCTGCAGTGCTCCCGTTGTGACCGCTTCGGGCACGCAACCGCCACCTTCTCTTGAGACGAACGGTGCCAGCGCTGCGACATCAAGCACGCCCCAAGATCATGCTCAGCACACCCTCGCTGCATAAACTGTCACGGGAAACATCCTGCAACCGAGCCGCGCTGTCCAGCCTGGCAGCTCAATTGCAGGACCGTGGTCATCATGGCCTCAACCGACGGCACCGTGACTCACCGCCCAGCCCCGGAGCACGCTAGGACCCCTGGCAGCAGCGCTTCCATCATCAAGGGACGCTCCTCCCGAGATGCGCTCGTCGGTACCGGCGACACCACCTCGGAGGCCACCCTCGTCCTACAACGAGCGCGCCCGTCGTCCTCACTACAACGACGACGACCTCGCCCTCTCAGCCGGCCCCTACCATCGTCCAAAAGCGCTCGACGGCGACGCAGACACCACGCGCTTTTTCACAACCACCGGTTCCTGTCGCTATCGCCAGAAGCGCGACGGCTGAGCCCGTTTCCTCGACCTCGCAGGAACCTTACATCAAAACCAGGAATGACATCATGACTGGTCTTGCTTCGGGACTTCGAATAGCGCTCAAGGCCCTCCCAGTTGGCTCTCACGAGCGCAATTTTTGTGTTGTGCCCCTGGTCGCCTTTCGAGTCCATGGCTGATCGGTTTGGTCCTCTCCCTGGACGAACCGACTGCACTTCGTGAGTTCTTTCCTCGCCCGTTTTAAAACGTGCACATCACTGTACCTCTGGCCTTCTTGGTGTTATTCGCAATCGACTGCGTGTGGCATGCGGGTCTTCTTCCTGCGCGCATCTCGCTGATGCTGATGACCTCGGATGGATTCGCTCACCCACAGAGGGGGATGGGCCAAGAACCGGGTGGCAGGATACTTAAATGAAACTAAAATTAAATTAAAGCCAATCTGAAAAATTAGTTGAGGTTATACTGCCAATAAACAAAAAAAATGTTTGCTGAGCAAGCGGTCAAACCATCTCTTGTTCCTGACAGACATCACTACGAATTATAAACTAAAGATCTGAAAAGGTTAGGGTTCACTAGCGCGGTAATCTTTTAGTTGCATTGATGTAGTCAAACACAGTGGAGCATACATCCCTGTAGCCAACGTTTATAGATACTTTTTCAGTTCCGCAACTCCTCGCGCCGCGCCCAGGGAGAAGGCGGCCGGCCGCCGCACCCGCCACCGCAGCGCTGCAGTCGCGCCTTGCGCTAGGAGAGCGAGAGTCGTCTGCTAGCGCGAAGGGTGTCGCGTGAGCCTTTGCGTGCGCCCGAGTGAGAATTGTGCGAACAGTGTACTTGGTCTTTACTCTCGCTATTTAACAGAGGCCACGCGCTTTAATTCGTGCGCGTTGTATGACTCACGAACTTGAAAAAAAGCCTGTACGTACTTCGCAGGCATCCGTTTGCGCAGTGACAAAGTGATCGCTTCACCCTGCGCCTTCCTGTGTCCATTGCATCAAGACCACATTAGTAGTTTACAATTCAGCGCGCTAAAAGAAATAGAAATCTTAAACTTATAGCACTCGGGTTACGTAACATGAGGACTTGGCGACTAGTAAATTTTGTTGGATGAATGAAACACTGCTATTCGTCTTTTTTTTTTTTTTGCGGTGGGGAAAACGCCTCACGAATAGATCGAAAACTGACGTACACATTTCATTACACGTACACGGCACAGATTTGTCGGCAGGTTTACTGAGAAGTTCGTTAAACTAGCTTTGCCTTCTTGCGCTCTCTCTGTGCCCGAACGGCACTGCTGTTCTCCAAGCATTTGGCTCGTGCGAAGAAGTGCATACGAGTTGTTAAATAAAAGTGAATTGTTTGAGCAGTAAGCTGATTAGCATGCTCGGAACAGCCAACAATATTTGTGCCTCTCTTCACTAGAGCATCCAGCACATCCCAAAATAAGTCACCAAAACATGTGCCTTTGCTAGCATGCTTTATAGTGCGTTCTACCGTGCTCACACACGCAAGCAGTTTTTCTGAAGGGTATGCAAGGCTGCCACAGACGTATTCGCGCTCGATGACCAGTATGGCCTCCTTCGACAGTGAATCACGCCTACCAAGGGCATCTTCTTTGCAGACCTCACAGCGTGTAGTTTTCTTCAACTTGAAAGCCACGTAGCCTGCCAGGTAATACAAGGCGGTCGCTTCTGGTGATGGTGCATTGTATTCATGATCGTCGGCATCACTTGAGAGGGCATGGAATGGTATGGACATCAGCTGCTGCCAAACTTTATCTTTTCAACAACCTGGCCGTCAATGGCATGCTTGTAAGTCTTCACAATGTCATGTTGCATAAAATGCACGTCACACACTTTGCATGTCTTGCTCAGAAGTTTATCGGCGCGGGGAATAGCTCTCACCCACCTTTCAAGCAGCTGCGGATCGGACGGCGGTGCAAAAAAGTGCCGCTTTTCTGGATTGCTTTTGTACCCGCTGGTGCAGCCGGGCACGAAGCAAGTTGGCATCGTAAAGCTTGGCAGCTCCGAGACGTCCTGTGGCCGGTAGTGCTAGGTTGTCACAATTCACAGATGATCGAAGTCTTCGAGGATAACCACGTGCGCGCACGGTCACAACAACGAGAAAAAAAAAGCGCGATGACAGCCGCGCACGCGGCCAAGCAACTGCGGGGAGGAGCAACACCGGCAACACGTGCGCCCGCGACAGCGCAACTCGCGACTGTGGCGCCATCTCACTGCCCGGGTAAAACCGGCGGCCGCCTGCGGCGGCGGAGTTACGGAACTGAAAAAGTATCTATAAACGTTGCCTGTAGCAGTAACCAAATGAAGTGCCGCCAAGTGATAAAAGTACTGCTACATTTACTTGTATTCCTAGCTTTTGTAATGGGGCTACTAAATATCTTTTTCTCTGATAAGAGTAACTATGACAGAATAAAAAGAAATGTTCAATTGTTTCAATTTAGTTGCAAAAAATGCACAGTGGTGACGCCTCGAGTCTAGCTTTGTTAAGGTAATAATTTAGTTGTGGAACTGTACAGCACAATCTAGTATAAGTGACCTCTAACTGGCGAAATACACACTACTGTTTATACCAGCAATACCTTCAATGCTCGAAATCTTTAAATTTATCCAAATTACGTATTCCCCATTGCAAACAAGCATTTCGGAAGCTTAGCGCTGTCACGTAAGCTGTATCCGGCAAAACTGGGATGGTGGGCCCACTAAGGGATACTGCTGCTGGCAGATCGAATGCGCCTTTTTTTTCTTCCTCTACCTTTCTCTTGCCTCTTCTCTCCTGTCCCTTTAATTCCCATTCCCCATCCCCTGCGCAGAACTGTGGAGGTGCCCTCATTTGAGAGAGGCAGTGATGGAACTGCGCTTATTTCTTCTTTTTTTTTCTTTTGAAAGTCACTTCACTTCGTCTTGGAATTATAGGTTTCCTTCGCTGAGGCACGCGCTCACAGTGCCGCAGGAAAACAGCCGAGCTGCGGCGCCAATCATTTTGGGAGAAGTGGTCACGAGCTTCGAAAACGGCCGCTTTCGACCTCAAGCGCTACAAAATAAGCTGGCAGCCGTGAAGACAAGCACTCACTGTGGGCTTCCGACACATTGCATCATTCTTGAAGTGCAACAGCTGCATAAAAATGCGCATTCAGAACTCCAGCCGGCTATCAACAACGCGGTCATTCGAGTGGCGAGGCAGAGGACACGAGACGCCGGCGTGCTCTTCTTGTCCCACAACCCACTTCCACCACACTCTTCGCTCTACAGCTCGCATAGAGTTTTATACAATAATTATTGCATGAAACTCTATTGCAGCTCGCAATACGAGGGCCTCTCCTCATTTCCTTTCTCCAGAAGTGGCTAGAATGATCTACCCATGAATAACCTCCTTCATCGCAACTGGTGCTAGCGCCTTTCTTAAAACTCGTTTCGGTTTCGTTTTCAGCTGTTAGGAAGATTTATTGATCTAGTTTCTCTTGACAAAAACAGTTTTGTTTACTTAGAGTAAGTTAGCGTAAGTACACGAACACGCAAATTTTTAATAGCTGGCTTATGAGACGCTCGGTTGTGTTTTGCGTTTTTTCTTTACTTCATTTTTTGGTGAACGGCGCTGCGGTCGCGACTGGCTCGTCTCAGCTGGTGTCATGGCAGCGGCTGAGATGAACTTCCGAGCCCACTACTACGACAAAGTCGGCTTCCGCGGAATAAACGAGAACAAATCGCTCGAAATACTGCTCAGCGAGAAGCCCATAGACCTGAAGAAGCTGTCCAATTTCTGCCGCAAGTTCTGTCTGCCCTCGGTTCACCGGCTCACGGTCTGGAAAGTGTTGCTAGGTGAGTCCCCGCACAAGAGAGCGAGAAAAAAAAAAAACGAATCCATCTTGCTCTGTCGTCTGCTCCCATGTCGCATGCCGCCGTCGGTGTCACTTTACCCATTGTCTCGCCCGCGCCCATGCCCGTCCTCCGGCGCCGAAATCGTATAAATTCGATCGCTTACCATCTTACGTCGCCCAGTGTTTAGCCAAAAAGGCTCGCGAATGATACGCTCTCGCTTGATAAACAAGTGATCGGCGAACCTCCACAGGCAGCTGCACATCTGTTCGCCTTCCTCTCCGGTCGATGGTATGTCAGTCTGAGGCTCGCTGTGGCTTTTTTTTTTTTTTTTTGTGCTGTTTCCGCGGCGAAGTGCAGAGCGCTGGTTGCACCGCTCACGATCAGCTTTTGTGTCGTTCTAATTGCGAAACTGTAAAGGCATCCCTGTGGTTCGATTGTCTTTATGCTTCACGCGAGACATGTCAACTCGCCTAGCTAGGTAGAATCTTTCGCTTCTTTTATATGATCTTTAAACTACGCGCTGGTCGCAGTAAGCGTGAGCAACAAACGATCCATGCTACTGCAGGATATGGTACTCGCTATAACGACGCATCAGCTGGGATAGAACATCCGCAGGCTATCCGGCCTAGCTGTGATTCCATCCCATTCACGCTTATAACCGGCCAAGACATCCAGAACATAAGGGAAATCTAGTTCCAACTAGCCGATGACGAATCGTCGGAAAGAAACTGGAGACACTTGACATTTCGACGGAGGTCTTCGTCAGGCTCTGGTGACATTCGCGATTGTTTCCAATCGATCCTCCTTAATCCCTCGAAGCCGTTTGAATTGCCACACTCGGGGTGTTCGAGAGGGACTTGTCTGAACCAATCTGTTTGTTATTACTTGGCCAAGTTTGCTTTATTTATTTAATTACTCGTTGTTTATGTTTATGGGCTATACTTGTATGCTGACCATCCGTTATTCGAGCAAAGATGCACTACAGGCTGCCAAGTTTTGTGTGCGCTGGCCCGTTGGCCGTAGGATCGAATTCCGGCCACGGCGACCGCATTTAGATGGAGGCTTTTGCATGTACGTTACGGAAACCGAGATGGTCTAATCTTCCGGAGCTCTCCACTGCAGCATTCGTTATAATCATGCTGTGGTTCTGTAAAACCCAACAGTTTATTATTATTATTATTATTATTATTATTATTATTATTATTATTATTATTATTATTATTATTATTATTGTTGTTGTTGTTGTTGTTTGTTCTTTGTAGTCCAGCTGTTGTGTGTTTACTGGAATGATGAATGGGCAAAATTTTTGATGGGCATCTATAAATTATACATGCAGAGCTTAATTGTTCCTTTTTGAGAGCAGCGCTGACGAATCTGTAGTTTGTGAGTAAGGACTGCGGTAGATCACTCTGCTATGTTATCACACTTGAGTTGCCTTGGGACAAACAAGGTATCGCAATGACGAACGTAAACAAGAAGATACGCAGTCCCTAAGTAAGGGTAAACAGTTGGCCTGGCATTTCGACAAGGCAACTCAAAGACGTAATCAGCTGTTCAAAACAATGCCACAGATGAAGGTCTCTTATTTCTTTTTTCTAGAATGCTGGCACATCAAACTATAAAGTTTTTCTTGTGAGCATGCTTTTGAACTGTCGGGTTGATAGAGAATTGGTTGCTCATTGCCACGGGTAAATTATTAGGACAAGCGATTTGTGAAATCGATGGTTGTACTGACACCCGACCAGTCAGGAAAGGCACGGAGACAATTAAAACACAATGCTGATCTCGATAAAAGCAAAAAGCAAGATGAAATGTCTTGCCTTTGCTCTTATTGTAGTCCCAGTTGTATTTTGTCTTGACGAGGGATTTGTAGTTGACAGTGCCTTAACTGACTTATTTGGTCCACTAGCATGTACCTGAACAAAGGCCAGCAGTGAGGTTAAAATAGTGATACGTTTGGGAGCTGAGGCATGCAAAGGGTTCATCAAATTAGGGAGGCCTCATTTCACTGAAAATTGTCCTGCCCCCCCCCCCCCTTTTGTACAAGAAGTCCAATAGCAAATAAGCTCTGCAATGAATACAGAAATGAAAATGCAGCCATGACATGCTTCTCCTGGTGGCCTGTCTTTGGTCACCAGCTTTCTGGAAGAAGTAAGCTGTTCTTTGAATGCAGCATCAAGGGCCTTCGAGCACCATATTCATCTAATAAGGGAACCATGTTCTTGTGATAGCAGATTATATTCTTGGGATCATAATTCATTAACACAAGTCGTCAACATTTGCCACATACTGAGGCCATCTCTTAAGAAACATAACTGTGGTGTGGCTTTCAATGCACGCTGGTGAGCTGCTTGAGGAAAGGCAGGCCAGTGACCACATCACTCATTGGTTTTAGTGCTCTAGCACTGTCTGAAAATGACCAGTCATAAAAGGTGCCAGTTGGAAAAGATTCTAACTGCTTGTGCTTAACAAGAATGGATGTATCGTTTGCGGATTGCCTCTTCTTACTGCATTGAATAAAGGTTGGAGAACTCCTTGCCCTATGAAGCATCTTGGGAAATCTGAGAGTGTTCGAGATAACTTTTCTTATGTAAAAGTGTTTGTTCTTACAAAGGAGGGCCTGCCCTTCGTAGTACACATAGGTGGGCTGTGGCTGCTATATCTGTGACTGCCGTTGCACTACTAGTTTTTCTTTTTCGGTAAGAAACTTTCTTTGAAAAGTGCATTGCACGAAACTTTGGTCCGTCATCATGACACTACAGTGACGTTGACACCACTGCTTCTTGCTTTTGTAGACCAACCTTAGCAACAAACGAGAAGCATTTCCCAATCATTCTGCTTGTAAAAGAACCACGCAATCACTTTGTGCAGCTTAAAAACAGGTTTAAATGCTCCTTCAGGAGAGCTGTTTCGACTGATGTCAATAGCACACTACTCACTTGGCAACCAAGCTACACGAGTCTTTTGCTGACGAAGTTGCGATCAAAAGATGCATTCACAAATACATCCAAAAGACTCAAACATGCATGGAAAAGCAAGGACAATCCTCGAGGTCATGGAAACTGACAAACAAAAGGACAAATGTGTCGGTTGCTTTTTAGGACCGTTCTCCAAAAAAAGAAGTGCTCTGATACCTTCCACAGTAATCATATATGCATTAGAATTTTTTTCATAAAAATGCATCGTATCTGTACAATTTTGTTGTTTTTTTATCATGCACCACTGCTGTCATAGTGCATGTGCCTGTTCCTTTATATGAGGATGAGTCTTTAGACAATGAAGCACAAGTTGTGGTCCAGCACTTGCGTCCTACTTATGTGTGGGGGAATGAGTATTTTGTGCACGTCTTCATGAATATAATGGCCTAACTAGCTAGGCCGTCAGTACATGTTAGAGGGCCCCTGAACCACCCAGAGGTCGAAATTTAGTTATGGAGTCGCAGTTTAGCGCAGGTCTACAACAAACTTGTAGCTGTGAGGAATTTTTCAAAGTGGTGCCTCAAGTGAACAAACGAAGCATATTTACATGTTTTTGATAATTCAAAAGAGGCCCTCACTCATTCTGCCCTTTATTACACCTCGTTTGTCAGCTCAGTCTCTCCTCCTGGCCAATCGCTCTTCCTCACCGCTGTGAGGAGAAAGAGCAGCAAGCACGGATACTTGCAAGCAGACAAATAAGTTCTTTTTGTAGATGACAGGAGCAGATACAGTGAGTGATAGGGATAAAGGAAACGCCAGGATAGGTTGGGATTGTTTCTTGCAATTTGTGGGGCGCCTGTCGCTCATGGTGCTGCTGCGCTTAGCATTTTGCTTGTGATAGCATCTGAAAGTGGACCATGACATCCAATTTCTTTCTCATAATCTGTGTTATGTGGGCTAATCCTTGGGCATTCACAAACAAGCTGGTGACTTTTCAGCTCATTTGGTAGAGTACTTAACTTATAAGAAATATTTTTGTAAACACGGGTGTGGCCCAAGAGTCTGACAACACTGGCACTCCAGCAAGCTGCGACATCACAAGCCACTCGCCTTGCTAGTGTCAGTTTATCGGCGTAAAGAATTTTTTTTTTTTTTCGCGCTCAACTTCGCGAGCAATAAAGCAACTTCAGCTTTCCTCAGCTTGGCTTTGAAACTTGAGCGATTAGTAGCAACTGATACTTAGAAGGTGACGACTTCATTCTATGAAGCTCGTGACATTGCACACACCATGCCAAAATGACGGTCGTCAGCGGTAGGTCGAGTTTATAACCGGCAGCTTCTAGCGCTCATTCCGCAGTGAAATACTCTTTTGTATTCTGTTTTTCATATATGTACATGCACAGTAGACCCTCTACTTCTTTTTCCAATGAAAACCACAATTAGGTGGGTGACCGTGTCATGGTCCCTCAACTGAAGTGCTTACTTGAAATGTTAAAGTACGTTTGAAGTGCTTACTTGAAACATTAAAAAAAATCATAGAGGTGGTTTAAGGGCTTCTTGAGTTGTTTCTTAGTGCTCCTGGAAAATTCACCAATAGCCAACTTTCTAGTAACAGAGCCTGTGCCAAAACATTCTTCCTATTTCCAACGTCCTTTACAGGAATTCTGCCAACCTTCGAGGAGAACATTACCAGTTTCGAGAAAGACGAGGAGGACCAGTACAACGACCTGAGGCGTGCCCTGGAAGTGATGAGGGTCGTCAGAAACGGCACATCCGCAGGCCGACACCATCGTCCTCCTCTACCTCGTGGGCGAAGGGAAGCTTCACCTTGACATTGAGCAGCAGGTAACTGCTTAAAAGGGTTCCTTTAGGAACGACAAAGCAGCAGAGTCGTGCTGTCTCTTATGCATTTGTCAAAGACAGTCTGAAGGTGAAAGCCGCCTTCTTTTTTCCCTCATCAGTCTGATCCCCCTCCCCAAAAGCTTTCTGTCACCGGACATGGTTTTGTGATGCCTGTCGGATCGCAGGCATTGGAATCCTTTTTGCGCTTCATGTGATTTTGCAGTGGCTTTGGAATTGGCCCCCTTCAGCCAAGGGCATGATTTCAGGATAACGTCATCATGCAACATCATTATATGACATTGTAGCAATGTTATCAGGATGACTGCACAAATTTCGCAATGTGAGACATCGTGATGACATCTTTCGGTGACGCCATTCGTGATCATGATTTTATTTATGACTCGGATTGGACACCTACACCGACGGATCGATTTTCACGTTTTGGGATTGAATATTGGCTGAGGCTGCTGTATTTTCGATGGAGGCAAAGATGCTGTAGGCCCGTGTTCTCAGATTTTAGTGCACGTTAAAAAACGCCTGGTGGTCAAAATTTCCGGAGCCCTCTACTACGGCGTCTCTCATTACCATATTGTGGTTTTGGGACGTTAAACCACCCATATCGTCATCACAATTTTCACGTTTGATGAGGTATCAAAGTCTTTTGTCTTAAAACTTTGCTCACTTCACAGGGACAAAGAACTGAAAGGGGAAGCGCTTGCAGTGACTGTATAACCTACCGAAGCTCATGCATTCACACAGTCCTTTTTTGGCTGATGTCCTTTACCTGGTTTGAGGGCACGCTGCTGTATTCATCAAAGGACAAACTGACGGCTTTAAGTGCCGTAAAGACGTAGCCTCTTTTCAGTAAAACTGCTAAAGGTTTTCTTTTTTTTTCTTTGCCACAGAAGAAGGGACAGACGATTTTTTTTTGAAGAAGGGGTCAGTCCAGCCTAAGTTCAGTTTATTTTCCCTCAAAACCATCAGTTAACAGGTGGGGTGCAAAGTGTGGATTTGCAGATTTAGTGAAATAACCTCATCTGGAGGACATAAGCTTGTGTGATTTTCAACATGAACTTGGACTTCTCAGATTTCATGTGCTCTTTGGAAAGTCACTGGGCCAACGTCTTAGTGCAGGGAGACATCCAGCAGCCTTATTGAATTAAATCTGTTACACTGCTTTAATTCATGCATAATATGGGCCTGCAGCACACATATAAACACACATATACATCGAGGTTTGCGCCTTGGCACTTTCTCTACCCACCACGGGGGTCTAGTGCTTATGATTCTCTATTGTTGACTTGCTTGTCACAGCAATGAATTTTGGCCTCTGATGGCTGCGTTTTCGATGCATGTAAAAATGCTTGAGGCCCGTGTACAGTAGACTCCCGATAATTCGAAGTCGCTGAATTGGAATTGTCGCTTAATTGGAAGTGGAATGGAGGTCCCGTCATTTTTGCATGCAATTCAATAGAAAAGAATGCTCGTTAATTGGAAGCTATAAGTCTGAAATATCGGTTAATTTGAATTTTCAATTATTTCTCAGGGAAAATTCTAATAATATTTGATAAACTTGCTAGTTTTAAAGTGCAAAAGAACGATGTCTGTGCGGCTGCCACTCAAGGGCATTGCCACTGACCACAGTGCCACTGTTCAACACTTCCTGGAGCTTAATGGCGTCGTTGGCATCTCAGCTGCTTACAGCGCCTCAGACCACGAAGCGGCGAGGCAATTTGCGAGCGGCCTGTGCAGTGCTAATTGCAGTGAGCAAGCACTGGGCTTAACCGCTTCTCTCGTTGAGCGGACAGCGTTTCCACGTGCAACAGAGCTCTATGTGTATTTCAGGTTCAGTCACCACTATGGCAACTCGCGGGCCCTATGAGATGCTAGACTAGGCGACGAAAGCCAAGATTTTAAAAGAAGTAGAAGTAGGAGGCACCGCCAAACAAGATATTGCCTGTAAATACGGTATGTAGCCTAATACCCTGTCGAACATTCTCAAGAGCAAGCGCTCGTTGCTGGACTGGCACCCACCTGGAGTTGGAGCAAGCGTTGCTCGTGTCTGGATTCGGGAGGCGCGAAGCAACTGACTTCCGCTCAGTGGCGAGATTGTTGCAGTGAAAGCCTCATCACTTGCGACCTATGCTAGGCATCGAGAACTTCACTTCGTCTGATGAATGGCTTACACACTTTAAGCTACGCATGATATGGTGTTTAAAAGTAGTGATTGGAAAAAGGGCTGTCATCGACGCGGCAACATGTGCTACGTAGAGGGAAGATAAGCTTCGCGAATACTTGGACGAATATCAGCTGCAAGATATTTTCAATGCCAACGAGACGGCACTTTTTTACAGGATGTTGCCAGAGAAGGTGCTGGCCTTTAAAGACGATGACTGTGCTGGAGGTAAACGGAGTAAAGAAAGAGTGTCAGTGCTGATGGCGACCAACATGACGGGCTGTGAGCAATGTCGTCTGCTCTTAATCGGCAAAGCCGCTAAGCCTGGTTGTTTCAAGGGTGTGAAAACGTTGCCTGTAGACTACGTGTCTAACCAGAAAGCACGGATGACTGCAGACATATTCAAGGATTGGCTGATGAAATCGGATTACAAGTTCGCGTTAGCGTAACGCAAGGTGTTGCTGCTTGTGGACCAGTGTAGTGCACTCATGAATGTGTCGCACTCTTGCGTGCCATCAGTGGTGCTTACGTGCCAGTGAACACTACATCAGTGTTACAACCTATGGACCAGTGGATAATAAAGAACGTGAAAGTACTTTATCATGAACATCTTCTTGAGCGGATGCTGTTGTGTATGGACAATTCAACTTAATATGAGGTGAGCCTTCTCAGAGCTATACATATGATGGCGCGAGCGTGGGGTCGCGTAAAGGACGAGACCATCGCGAACTGCTTTAGGGCATGCGGATTTCGTTGCAAGCGCTCCAGATGACTCGTTTTGTACAGCGGGGAGAAGCAGACACAAGTCAGATTGAAGTTGACAGTCGCCTGCCAGCTCTCGGCGACGTCCCTTTCGAAGAATACGTTGCTACTGACAGTGCCGTAGAAAAGGGCGGTGCGTTGACGGACGCTGAGATCGTCGAGATGGTTCGGCCCAGTGACGATAGTCACGAAACTGAGGTGGACGACGACGAGGTTGCGAGTCAGCTACAACCGCGAGCTGCTGATGTAGCCGCGGACCATGCCCTCGCGCAGCGGTTTTTTGCTGCTGAGAGCAATGCCGAAGAAGCTTTTGGGCCCATACCATACAGACTGTAAGACTTGCTTTCTGCTGCAAGATTTAGCAGGCAAAGGCAAACTGCAATCACTGATTTTTTTTCATGAACTGCTTTGAAATAAATGTATTTTTTATTTGTTGTGGTTAATTGGAATTCCGTTTAATTGGAAGTTTTAGGCAGTCCCCGTGAACTTCGTATTAACGAGAGTCGTCTGTACTTGGATTTAGGTGCATGATAAAGAACCCTAGGGGGTCGAAACTTCAGGAGCCCTACACTGCGGTGTCTCTCATAATCATGTTAAAGTTTTGGGATGTGTAACGTCAGCGATTATTATATTAACCTATTAGTTTACCGAGTTTTTCAGCCGGAGATGATTCAAAACCGCTGATTTTTTTATTTGCCTATTTGACCACAAAAATTGCCCTACCCTTTTCTCTCTCCAACGCGGAAAATGTCTTTTGGAAATTTAGAAAATAAAGCAGAGGGAAAACAACCTTATGAACAAAACCTAGGACACTCCGACAAAGTTTGTTTACATCTATCGGTGTCTACTGCCAGTAGGTCGAGGCACAGTGGTCGTCCGAAACTTGTGACTTAGAGGGAATAAGCTGCCCTATGTAGTCATTGTTGCTCTCACAGGAGAACTGACATTCTTATTCCTTCCACAGAACTTCAGCAAGCAAGCGCTCTTTTCTTTTTTTTTTCCCTGAACAGAGCTCTTCTTGGCGCATGCGTGCCACTCAGACTTGTAGAAGTATGCCATCTTCTAATTCTGATTACCAATGTAAAATATTTTCTCCACTAAGATGCATGCATGAGCATGCTTTTAAATTCTTTACTGCACCGCCTGTTGAAGCCGAAGAGAACTCTGCAAAATTAATCAAAATAGCTTCACTGCAGCAACCTAACACGCTTCTTTTAGTGTGGACGAGCTCTGCTTATCATCGATAAAGAAAGGGTCAAAGGGCCCAGTACCACGCTTCAGGCTTGGTCAGAGAACACAGTCAACAAACAGCAAACACTTAAACAGCTCAGCGAAATCTTTTAGTCCTGCACAGCAAGGAGAGTTTACAAGTAGAGCACAAAGTTTCCACTTTCTCAAACGCTCTGTCTTCGTACAGAGTTTTGATGCTGCCGATGCCAGCTCTAGTTCATCATTCAGCAAGTTTCTGTTATTAACCTATGGCGCAGTTAAAGGAAGAGAGGCGTTTGGATCAGATGCACTTCTGTTCATGTAGTGTGGCCATGTTTGAGCACTGCGCTTTGTAGTTTGTTACACAGTGGTAACATTGGTGCACTCAACAATCAAACTGAGAGCGAGCAACTGCATTCTATGGCGTACACTGGCATACTTTTTTTGCCAACCACCCATGTGTAACTTTTAGTGGGCTCATCAAGACAAAAGAAGAGAAAGCTTGCGACAACTTCCTGTAACTTTGCTCATACAAGTTTAAAAATGCTTTGGGGTAATCAATTTGTGAGTCAGTAAACTCTGATGCTCACGTTATTCAATGATGATGTACTTGGGAAAGTTTTTCAGGACTCTTGAAGGCAAGTCTTTATAGTAAAATAAAAAAAGGAAAGAAAAGTTGGGAACTTGTTGAACACTAACTAGCACGGGTGTAAGAGAGATAATAACACAATGCACTAAATTCAACAATTTTATTTCTTGGAAACACCAAATTAAAAACATAATGCACTAACTTCAGCATTTTCATTTCAGAAAACACCAAACTGAGAACACAGTGTGCTAACTTATTTCAACAATTTTATTTCCAGTCAATGCCAAACTAGCTAGTTTGGCATTTCCTGGAAATAAAATTGTGGAAGTTAGTGCACTGTGTTGTCATCTCCCTTACATCCCTGTTTGCTAGGGCTCAATATGTTTTCGAGATCTGTTTACCAACACGCCCAAAAAATGTCAATGGGAAAGAAAAGAAGGCTACTCAGCTACAATTTCATTTACGCTCTATCATTAGCAGAAATGCTGTTATGTAACACCCCCTCCCAGCCAGACCACGCCGACCCTTTTACTTTGAAGTCTCATCACTTGGGGGCACTTGATCATCTTTAATTTTTCTTCAGTGCTTCATGTGAAGTAGGAAAAAAAAAGTAGGTTATATGGCTACAACGAAGCTGTGCTTATATTAAAGATATTGGAGTAGTTTTCCAGAGTGGTATTTTGTATGTGTGTACCAAGCAAAGTTTCTAGCATTTCCAATTGCTCCGCTGGTGACGCACACCTCCAGAGCCAGCTGTCTGGCACCAATCACGAACACCAACATCTGTTCAAACAATGTACGCCGAAAGGGACATAATCGCTTGACAGGAGACTTTTTAGGGAATACCGCATCATCTTCATTCTAACTGGATAGTTGCTTCAGTTCCACCAATTGACAGAAATAAATATGCTTGCTGTTTCTTGAAGAGGTGTATTAATTGGAGTTTTTTGCCGTTTTCGCTTGCCGTAGATGTCGGACGACGAAGTTCAGCACATCAGGAGCATCGCGTCGGTCTTCACGAAGATATGCAGCAGGCCGGAGGAAGCATACTGGATGACGCGAAACTTCTGGAAGCACCTCAAAAAGCTTGCCATTGACTCGGACGCCATGGTGAGCATGCGCGGTGCTTCTCACATATTTTTTAAGCGAAGCTTCCATGAATTACAGATTTCGGTGGTGGTGATGGCATAGTTCATGAAAAACATGGTGTCAGCGAGTGAACATAAACGCTGGAGTACACTAACTTGGCCATCGAAGCATGGTCACATGCTTATTTGTATGCACTGTTTTGTAATAACTGATCTAGTATATCTAGTATTTCCAAATGTTTGTACTGTTTGCTTATAACCGATCAAGTATCTAGTATTTCCAAATGTTTGTACTGTTTTTTATAACTGATCTAATATCTAGTATTTCCATCTATTCCTACTGTTTCCTAATGACTAATCTCCGTCAATTGTAGGATTGTTGCCGATTGGACGTGTCAGATAGGGGAATCTGATTTCTTATCAAAGTGACTTCCGGCTTCACATTGCCAGATTTCTTCGTTGCATTTCATTGCTGCATAGCGTTGTTTCACTCATGACCGTCATCGTTGCCTCTCACAGCAGAATCGTTGCACTGCTAAGCACATTGTTGAACATCAATTTGTGGCACAGAGAAAGGAGAAATTGGCGAAGCTTTTGCAAAGCTATGCAATGCTTCAATCGGCAAAACTCGACTATTCTCAAGACTAATCTGGTTGCATCTAGGTCGTTTCTAGGGCTTACCCAGGTGACGCAGGTTTTTTTAGCTTGATTCTCAGCGCACAGTGGTCCTAGTTAAACCATAGATCGTCACAGACATGACATGGATATCCAATGTCCAGAGACAGAACGTTGCGCTGAAACCAAGCGCTCACACCTCTCCGAGATGTACAGGCACATTGTCATTTGCGTAGGCCTTTGATTGCGTTGCGCTCTTCTCGCAGCTGCTGTTGCCTTTCTTGTTCCGCTTGTGTTTTCTCGTTATATTTACTTGCAGTCTTCGGTTTACCCTCATCGCTTCGCAGCCATTTGTTGATCTGACTGCTTTCTTTTTTACGAGTGAACCAGTGATGAACAGTGGGAGGAACCTAGTTTTTGTGGTGCACGGCCGCTTATGGTGGTGATAGTTTTCTGATGGGGCTGTGCGCACAAATTATGACTAGCCTAAACAGCTTTGCAGTTAAAAGCCAAGGCAAAGCATTGTGTCGTGCGATAAATAGATTGAAAGAAAAATGTCATATCAGGCAAGCACACACGCCAAGCTATGCTTGCCCTCGTTTTCCCATTAAGGGAAGGGGTCCTGGTTTTTTCTGTCTTGTGAGGGCTCGTTTCTGGGCCCTGTCCGAAGGTTTTGTAGTCTGATGGCCATCACAAGGCGCCATCTATTGACCGTCACACTAGAACCGTTCTAAAAGATGGCTTATTGATCTAGGAGTTGGAAATCATATGAATTCTGCTAAACTCAACTTTTGTCAGTACTTAATGTTGCCCCTACTAGTACAGGGTGACCGGAAAAAAATACTGTAGCAAACACAGTATTTCATTTTTTTTTATTATTATCTTAGTATATTGTTTACATCTTTCAGCAGAGAGAACGTTACAATTGGGTTCGCATTTATTATTTCTTTATATATGATTGACATTTTTTACTATTGTTGGGCTCCCACCTTTTTTTTTTAATGAAAACTGCTTTATGAAGGGTTGCACCACACAATGACGTACAACTATTCAAGAAGCACACTTTCTCTAGTCTGCTGAGTTGTTATACACCAAGACCACTTGATTAAGATTTCGAAAAGTTGTTCATTCATCTTTAAGCAAAAGTGGGTGAATTATGGGAGGTGTGCATCCACTCAGCGTCACTCCTTCTTTGTGAACTTTGTTGAAAATCTGGCTCTCTTTGTCCATTTTATCACAATTAAGTGCCCTATGAGCTGTCTCATTAGATGCGCGCTGCTTATCATTCCCTGTAGAATGATCGCATTTATGAAGCTTTGCACAACCCAGATATGCTAGTGTTGTGTACTAAGGACGCTTTCATTGCTCCTTGTGTGCTCTCTCTGAGCCATTGTTCATGGCCACTACTAACGCGTGGGACAGAAACAAGAATAACGTAGAAACTTGGCAAGTCATTTGTCGACAAGGGTAAGTGATTTCAAGCTGACTGAAATTTGATTTCAGATTCCAGTGGGGCTGAACAATTTACCATGACATGAAGAGGTGGATAGAGAGCCGAGTGAACCAGAGAACAAACAGGAGTAGCCGTTAACATAAATGACTTTGGTAAACCCTTGCAACACTTTTTGGACATGGTCAAAAAACGCCTTTAAAGTCGTCGTGCCCGCAAGCATTTGAAACTGTGTGAGCCAAACTTTATAGCATGGCCCACAGCATAGAATCTGCTATCGAATTTCAGTCAGCTTCAAATCACTCACTCTTCTCAACAAATGATGCCATATACCCAATGCCCGCGGTCGTCCGATTATTTGGGCATCATGGGCTGCGTAGTTACTGTGCCTGCCGCAGCTCTGCCAAGTCTCCATGCATGCTTTCACTGTTGGCCGCGAGATCGAGCGGAGTTGCTGCCTGGCGGCAACTGGCTGAAGCGTGCCTAGTGTAGATCTTCCTGCACCGTCGGCTAGCCGCGTCGTGTTTGTGTGTGCAAGTACGTCATGCATGTTCTCAAAGGGTGGTTTGTTTGGTTCTGTCAGCAGGAGTTTAACTGCTTGTACCTATGCCTGAAATTATGTACGAAAGAATTCAGTCTTGCTTGGTTGTTAATGCTCTGTAGTAAGATTAGCGAAGCCAATATTCGAGAGTGCTGTGTATTGTCGTCGTAACCTGCATTTGCCAAAATCATTTCAATGTGGAAGCCACTTTCTGATTTCAAGCACATCTTAGTATGCTCTTGGCATTGTCCCGAACATCTGGACTATTCAATGGTGTGTGAATTCGTCATTTTAGTGACTCAGTTGCGAACAAAAACGAGGCTCTATAGGCCACGTGCTTTCGCGTTGTTAGCTGTATAACTATGGCGCTGTAGTTTCATCGATTATGCGATGAGCTTTAGTTTTGTTTATCTGACCGTAGTACAACTGGAGAGGAATATTACTATCAAGTAAAGTGTGACACTTCGGTATTTACGCTGTATTTAAACGGAGTTGACGCACGCAATTGTAGCTTGGGGAGAAACTTACGCAGAAATACCCGCATGCTTAGATTTAAAATCACTTTAGAGAACCGAGACATTCAAAATTTATTCAGACGGCATGCCTTACATTTATGTTGTATTATTTCATAAAAGAAACTTACCTTTTTACGTTGTCTTGACCGATTGTGTGGCCTTGCTATTGACTTACTGAAGGCATATACTCCAGCAGTACTTGATGTTTGGCTAGTTGGTGTATGTCTGAATTTAATAATCAATTTTACGCCAAATTCACAACCACACTGCGTGTGAAGAAAATGCACAGACAGAACGGAACTGCCATGCATTGATGAGAAGTCGATTTATGTTAGCTTGTTTCCTCAAGGAATACATTAGACAAGTGAGCGCCCGTCCTGTTTGTGTGTTTTCTTGGTTTGCAGTGTGGTCGTGATTTTGGCGCGACATTGACTATTGAATTTCGACGAGAGGCAGTTGCCATTTTTCATTTGAAAAAAAAAAAAAAGCAAGCCCATCCCATGAAGTAACCAGACCTCCCTTCTTTCAGTTTTAATAATTAAATATGCATCAAATGCATAACACTTGTGCCATTGTCATGCATGTAATCCATCAATGAAAGCTTTCTGCTGAACTTTTACAAGCTTTCTATACTTTTACTGGTGCAAGAACATGTCCATACATGGTAAACATCAATTAAGCGCAAAGCGCTGTCAGCCACTAAGCTTTTCTGAATAAATTTATAGACTGTTCCACATTTTATGGTGAACAAAATGACTAAAAAAATTCTTATTCGTACAAACAATGGTACTGAACTCGTCGCATAGATATGCAGGCTTTCTCCTATCTTTCTCTCTCTCTTTTTTTTGTGTTACCAGATGAACAAGAAGTAAATAAGTAGTTCAGTCATGCTGCAACAGTGTGTAGCAGGCGGAACACAAGTTAAACACGGACAAACAACACAGCAAAACTGTGATTTAGTGTGAAACTATGCAGATAGTCAGCTAGAGCGAGCAAGGCGAAATGCTCTTCATTTGCAAGCAATAGTAACATTGAATAAGCTTCTTGCATCGATTCGGCGGAGAAGGGCATGGATATTACCAGTAAACTGCAGTCAACTCATTTCATTCACTGGCAGTTGGCTCAAACCGCACACAACGAAGCACCGCTACATGTATTTGTATATGCACTGCTGACCGCCTATCCACACTACTGTGGGGACAGTGCTGCTACCTATAGCGCGATCTCATCGCAAATTATACTGAAAGTAAGCTGCTCGCTCGAAGGAACGAAAAATTCGGCAGATCCCACGTACCTCGTGAATCAATGTTATGCAAAACATGCGAAAGGAAGGCGACTGCGTTATAATTTTTTCATTGAGCAGCTACAAAGTGGCACTAAAGATATCTAGGAGTGTGCGTACAGAAGTACATTCAGGGAGCAGTGACATCAACTTGATGCATGTCGCGTTTTTGCATCAAAGCGTAGTTATCAATCCCCTAGTAACTATTCAGTACTAATAACAGAATAGAGGGACAAATTAATATATGTAATATCGATTAGTAGGACCAGTATTGAAACCAATTCGAAATAAAGCCCGCCAATTTTCAGTGATGCCAGCACTTCCAGGCGGTCACCTCCGATGGTCTTGCCCCATCTGACCACGTCACCACACAAAATGATGGCGTGAGTTTCAGTTGACTTTTCGTCTGCTCGGCGCACACGTGCATAAACATGTCATCGCCATCTCCATTGTTGTCGCCGCCGTGATCAGCATCCACAAGCGACGATGAAAACACTGAGGAACATGGAATCACGACGATTCATAGCGTGGTGAATCATTTTGGGTTCGATCCTCTTCTGAGCAATCGTGGTTCTGCAATTGAAACCGGACCGAGCAGCAACGAGGCAGCTGAAGACGCACACTTGGGCCACGGTGGCTGGTAAGACATATGAGCACTGCGTGCATGTTACTTGTTCGCAATGGCCGTACTTTCAAATAATGACATTTGTGCTAACGACTCCACAACAAATCACCTGAAGTGGCACAACAAAAACACGGGATACACACGAATGTGCTGCATGAACTAAGCAAAACGAAGTAAGTGAAGTTGTTGGTAGGCAGCCAGGCGTCGCCGTCAGGTGGTGCATCATGTAGACACTGCGATGACAACACTAAAATTGACGTCATTGCTGCTCGCTCATCATCACTCAGCGCCTGAAGTATGGCCTAGGAGCTAGCTGAACACGGCAAAATGCTGTAGATGTCTCATGGGCGGGAACGCACCAATGACCTTTGGACGATCATTGCACTCGAAATAGAATAACTTCTACGTAACGGACGGGATTCATACTTCGCTCTAAAATAACTTGTGCATACCAAGTAGTTGAATGAATGCCACCTCTCAAGTTTGAAATTTAGTGTCACTTCTCCTTTGAACAGCATATGTTTTATATAACCACTTGTTTAGAGTTGTGTTACCATGCCAACAGCAGCATTGTTATTAGCAACATCAGAAGTGGTAAGCTGAAAGCACTGGTGCTCGCGAGGATGGTAGCCCTGGACTCTGCTACATGAGTCAACTTCAGTGGATGGTGTCTAACTACAATTGACATTAAACTGATGTGACTGCTGTATCAGAAGAATACATATTTAATGTTCATAAAAATATATTGCCAGCGCTGCAACCACAGTTGACATTTCACAATATTAGGGTCTATTTGAAAGTAGTTCTGAAACCTGGTGTGGCTCTGTGGTAGAATACTTGATTGCCATGCAGAATTCTCAGGTTCGATTCCTGCTGGGACCCTGACTTTTATTGTTTGCATTCCTCGAGTCAATGCTGACGATGTCAGCTTTTTCTTAGTACTCACACATTAAAACTACCCATGTCTGTTCTCGCCATGCCTGGGTAGATATAAACCGTCAATCACTTGTGGCACATACTCGCCCGCGAGCATGTGCCACACGTTTGCCAGAAAAGGTGTGACGATGTATGCAACATGATTTTACATTATTCCTGTCATGACCAGCGAGTACTACTATTCGTTAGACTATTCATTACGCTCTCATAGTAATTTTTGTTGGCGCCAAGTTGAGTTGGTGATTGCAGGAGCACCCAGTCGTAAGTGGCTAGACGGGCAGACAAGCAGACACTGTAAGTGGCTGCAGTATGCAAAGAAATGCATTTAAAAGAAGGGAAGTTGCTCAGGTGCATGACGTGCACTCATCAAGAGAACACATCTCGCCCTTTGTCATCTTGGCGCTGCGATCGTTCAGCCATCATAAAAACGATGGGCAGCGCACAAATTTGCCTAGTCATCGCGCTTGTCGGCTTTGAACACACCTGTGGCTTTGTTTGTTGCCATGCTTTAGTTTTGTTTCAAACAAAAGAACGAACCGTTGCGAACTTCATGACCTGATTTGAATTAGTGAGCCTAAAAGATTAAGGTGGTGAACTGCAACTGTTGAACATTTGCCAATTGTTGTCTAGGGAGAAAGTAGCTTCAAGCCACGCGAATTGAAACGGAGTCGAAAGTACGAAGAATAGACAAATTTGTGTACGACCCATAATTCCTATGCTGGCTGAAGCGCTGTGGGTTACAGCTGCCGTGAACACTAGCCACAGAGTTCCCTCTGGTGTATTTATAGGAAACTCTATGGTATGAAAGGAGAGAGAAAGTGCATGAAGCGTATGACCAGTCCCTGTAACTCCGTGCATACTTGAAATCGATTCATGGGTGATGAACTCTGGTAGTGAGATCATTCAATCATTACTTTGAAAAATATTTTGGGGGCCCTTTTGAGAGAGAAAAATAGACTTGGACAGGTCGCATAGTGCGAAGGACAGATAATGAGTGGTCAGAGTGGTGGAGTGCAAACCACGAGATGTGAAACGTAGACCAGGGAAGTTAGAAATACGATGAAATTAAGAAATTTGCAGGCATAGAATGGAATTGCCTCACATGAGATAGGTTAAGTTAATGTTCGTTGGTAGAGGCCTAAGATGAGTTCATTTTGGGAGGAATTCTCTATTCTGTTACATTATAATATGAGTCGCTGATAGTGTTGATACATAATTATGATGATGCATGTGTTCTCTGTTGCCGCAGGGCAAGCAGGTGGAAGACACACTAGAGAAGGAGGACTACGAACTGTTCCAGCAACTACTAAAGATCAAGGCAGTTCCCGGTGTTGCCCATGGAGACGTGGTTCCAGCGGTGTTTCGCTGAAGTGCTCGACGAAGACGCCTTGGTTAGGTAATGTCATCATGCAGGCTCTTGTCACGACAAGTGGTCAAGGATAGGTGCACCTGCACAAATTCAGCGATGGTGCTGCGCGAGAAAGGTTTTTTTTTGTTGTTGCTGTTGTTTTTTTTAGGGGCTCATTTCTCGTGAGAGGGCGAATATACAAACAACCGTTTTACTTGCATAATTTGCGCCCTTAGCATAATTTGCGCATCCCTAATATTTTGCCAGCTTTCCGGCAAAAAGATATTTGTCCACATATTTCACGCTCCCCGACTCGTGCAAGCCAGCTCGCGCACCTTTGGACATTTCGATGCTTTAGCCAGGTGCGCATCTCGCTGAGCAGACCAGTGCAGTCAAACAGGCTACGAGTGCAAACTCCCTTCTTTCGAGGACTTCCCCTGAACTAGGGACCTTAGAATACCGCACCCAAACAAAAACCGGTTGACAGGTTGCGGGAACTGCTTGAGCACTCGCCTCCCCTTATCTTCCAATCTCTACCACCGCGATAATGGCGAGAATACACGATCGCGTCATGGCATGGACGACTTTCTGTATTGGAGGCGTGCGAGGACCTGTCGCGCCAACTGTTCCCCTCGTTCTCTGCATTCGCGCTGCAAAGCACGCTTTGTCGATTTCGGAAGTTTAGGTTTTGCCATCCGGACGATGCGTTTTGAAAGTTCCTTGCGATGTGCTATAGTAATTATATTGTTACGTAAAAATGACTTGAGGTGTGTCTATTTAAAATCTATATTCAAAATGATGCATATGGCGTCGACTAAGATGGAAGCAGCACGCGGAACCGACAGACCACTTCCTCGTTGTCGTCTTTTCACCGCTGATACGTCAGCTACGTAGCATTACCCCTCCCCGGCGGTAAAAGCGCCGTCTCGGTGCACATTAACTACGGTCTTCAGTAGGCAGGTGGTAAGGTTTTAGCCTGCTGACGTGCACAACATCACTGGGTGTGGTTGCAGGCAGGCTTGTGGTCTCAGATGCAGGAATGATCTCATAGGTGACGTCTGTTACCTGGCGGATGATACGGTAAGGACCCATGTAGCGAGACAATAACTTCTCTGATAAGCCAACTCGACGAACTGGGCACCACAGGAGAACAAGAGAACCGGGTGAGAAGTGAACGTCAGCATGCCGGCTGTTGTAGATGGCTTTCAGGGTGGCTTGCGAAGCCGAAAGTCTAGAGCGGGCAATCTGACGTGCGTGGTCGGCACGACCAATAGCGTCGCGTGCATATTCGGTTGACGGCGTTGTAGTGGTTGGAAGTAAGGTGTCGAGTGGTAACGTCGGATCACGGCCATAAAGCAAATAAAAGGGTGAATAACCAGTGGTGTCGTGGCGCGAAGAATTGTACGCGAAGGTCACGTGAGGTAGCGCCAGGTCCCAGTCATGGTGGTCGGAGGACACATACATCGCGAGCATGTCCGTTAGGGTCCGATTTAGCCGTTCAGTAAGGCCATTTGTTTGGGGATGGTAGAAAGTGGTCAGCTTGTGGTGCGTCGAGGAAGAGCGCAGAAGATCGTCGATCACACGGGACAAAAATGCGCGGCCACGATCTGTGAGTAATTGGCGAGGAACGCCATGCTGTAGGATGACGTCGTGGAGCAAAAAGTCCGCAACGTCAGTAGCGGTGCTGGTGGGGAGCGCTCGAGTGATGGCTTACCTAGTCGCGTAGTCTATAGCAACAGCGACCCACTTGTTGCCCGATTTCGACTCGGGAAAAGGATCGAGAAGATCTATACCAACACGGAAGAAAGGTTCGGTTGGGATGGAGATCGGTTGAAGAAGTCCAGCCGGGGGCGCAGTAGGTCGCTTCCTACGTTGGCATTTATCGCAGGAGGACATGTAACGGTGAACGGACCGGGCGAGACCGCGCCAAAAGAAGCGGCGACGCACGCGGTCGTACGTCCGAGATACACCCAGGTGACCAGCAGTTGGCTCATCGTGAAGCTCGTGCAGCACGGTTGAACGCAAATTTTTCGGCACGACAAGAAGGAGCTCAGGGCCATCTGGCTGGAGGCTACGACGGTACAGCGTGCCATTCAGGAGGACGTACATGCGAAGTGACGTGTCGTTCGGAGCAGATTCGAAACGGTCAATAAGTTGTCGCAGAGAAGCATCACGACGTTGTTCATCACCAATCTGAAGAAACTGGGACATTGACATGACGCTGAGGCTAGGCTCGATGTCTGGTTCGTCAGGCTGATCAACAGGGTAGTAGGATAAGCAATCGGCGTCCAGATGGAGACGTCCAGACTTATAAGCAACCGAGTAGGAATATTCCTGTAGGCGTAATGCCCAACGACCAAGTCGTCCAGTGGGGTCCTTCAGAGAAGAAAGCCAACACAGCGCGTGGTGATCTGTGATGACACGGAAAGGGCGGCCATACAAGTAAGGACGGAATTTCGAAACCGCCCAAACAAGAGCGAGACATTCCCGTTCTGTTATAGAATAATTGCGTTCAGACTTAGAAAGCAGACGGCTCGCGTACGCGATTACTCGGTCCGCCAAAACTGCACCAATTCCGTGACCACTCGCGTCTGTTCGCACTTCTGTGGGAGCATCGAGGTTGAAATGTGCAAGAATAGGAGGTGTCGTTAGAGCGGTGATTAGCTGAGAGAAGGCGTCAGCTTGAGGAGGGCCCCAAGAAAATGGGACGTCTTGTTTGAGAAATCGGTGAGTGGCCGTGCGAGTGCCGCAAAGTTTTTCACGAACTGGCGAAAGTAGGAGCAGAGGTCCACAAAACTGCGAACATCATGGACAGAGCTTGGGACTGGGAAGTTTGTTACAGCGCGTACTTTCGCCGGGTCTGGCCGTCAGCCGGCAGCGTCAACAAGGTGACCCAATACGGTAATCTGACGAAGACCAAAGTGGCACTTGGAGGAATTGAGCTGCAGGCCGGCCCGTCGAAATATGGATAGAATGGTCGAAAGGCGTTCAAGGTGAGTTGCAAGGGTAGGTGAGAAAATGATCACGTCGTCCAGGTAACACAAACATGTCGACCATTTAAATCCTTGTAGGAGCGTGTCCATCATTCTCTCGAAGGTCGCTGGAGCGTTGCAGAGCCCGAACGGCATGACCTTGAATTGGTAAAGGCCGTCAGGGGTAACAAAGGCGGTCTTTTCTCGGTCCATGTCATCTACAGGAATTTGCCAGTAGCCAGATCGGAGGTCGAGAGATGAAAAGAAGGTGGCACCATGGAGGCAATCAAGGGCATCGTCAATGCGTGGTAGAGGGTACACATCTTTTTTGGTAATTTTGTTGAGGTGGCGATAATCAACGCAGAAACCCCATGAGCCGTCTTTCTTTTTTACCAATACCACGGGAGATGCCCAAGGGCTCGTTGATGGTTCGATTACGTTTTTCGTAAGCATTTTTGCCACTTCTTTCTGAATCACTTCTCGCTCAGATGCTGACACGCGGTACGGCCGACGGTGAATGGGCACAGAGTCACCAGTGTTGATTCGGTGAGTGACAATTTTAGTCTGGCCCAAGGGAGGATCGTCGGTGTCGAAAATGCCACTGTATGAGGCCAAAACCTGGCAGAGAGCGTCGGCCGGGTGAGGCGACAGCTCCGATCCAATCATGTTTCGAAACATACCATCGTCTGAGCTGGGTGACCGTGAGACTGCGCTTCGATCAGGAGCAGATACAGCGACAACACTGACATCGTCCTCTGTTATGGCAGTTAGCTGGGCTAGAGACATCTGGCAGGGCAACACTTGAGGGGTGAAACCAAAGTTAAGGAGCGGAAGTAACACACAGTTATCCGCTATGGTCGCGGTGGTATAGGGCACAGTAACATTGCGCGTCAGCCGAACGTCAGTAATTGGCGTAACGATATAATCACCGTCAGGAACGGGAGGGGTCGATGACAAAGACACGTACGTGACGGCTCGAGGTGGCAGGCGAACGAAAGTGGTTGGGCTCAAGCGGCTGGTGGGCTTTGCAGAGTAGTCGGCAAAGATTGGTAGATCAAGGCTGAGGGTACCAGACGAACAATCAATTAATGCCGAGTGTGCCGAAAGGAAATCAAGGCCAAGTATGAGGTCATGAGGGCAGCAGGCTAGCACGGCAAAAAGGACCATGGCGTGACGACCGGCAATGCTGACACGAGCAGTGCACATTCCGATTACTGGTACAGTACCGCCATCGGCAACACGTATTGCCTGCGTCGTAGATGGCGTCATAATCTTTTGTAAGCGGCAGCGTAGAGAAGCGCTCATAATAGACAGGTGCGCACCTGTGTCAATGAGGGCGGTCACAGGAACATGGTCGACTTGTACTTCAAGCAGGCTATGGTGCGTGGGAAGCGTCAGTAGAGGATTTTCGGTCGTCATTGGTATTGCGGCTTCACCTCTATAAGCTGCAATATCTAGTTTTCCTGCTGCGGTCGTCCAGAGAAGCTCGGCGAGGAAAAGCGCCGAGGTGGCGGAGAGCGGGATTGGCGACGTAGCGGCGACGGGGAGCGAGAGCTGCGGCGACCGGACAAAGGGGCGTCAGGGTAGCGGCGACCGGGCAAAGGGGCGTCAGTGGAAGGCTCGTAAGATGACGACGAGTAGAAATTGAAGGGTGTGGCGTCTGAACGTCGAGGGCTCGTCGGATGCATGAGCGCCGAGGTAGAGAAAGTCTGACGTGGTTGGTTTGACCAACGACGGCGGCAATAGCGAGAAACGTGCCCAGGCTGGTGGCAGGAAAAACAAATAGGTCGGTCGTCGGGTGTTCGCCATTCCGAAGGGTTACGGAAGGGCATTGTTGGAGGTGAACGGCGAGCGTGTCCTCGGGAGGAGGACGGGACTTCAGGGCGAGTCAGGGGACATGCTGAGGGAAGTCCGAGGTTCGCAAACTCCCGCCTCACCACAGCTTGTATTAACGCCACTGACGGCTGTTGTTAGTCAGAGGCGAGCGTTGCGAAAACGGGTGGCTGAAGAGGAGCCGGACAGGCGGCTTCGATTTCCCGACGAACAATACATGTGACGTTGTCATACGTGGGGGAC